TTTTATGTTTTATGTTTTATTTTTTTTGTTATACATATATTTCTTAATTTACTAAGCTTAAAACACCAATTTTTTTATTTCTAAAAATATAAACTTATTCTAATTATTTAAAAACAGAAATATGCATTAATATATAAAATAAATAATTTCAAATTTAAGAAAAATAAAAAAAATAAAAAATTACCCAAAAATCAATTGATCAATGTTGATCAACGGTCTAGAATAGTTCAGGTAGGTTCAACTATTCGTTTCTATTCATGTGATTTTTTGCAATTTAGAACGGTTTTGGCCAGTTCAGATGGTTTGTTCTAGTTCAATTCTAGTTCAGGTTCAGTTTAGTTGAACCAGTAGAAGATTAGAGCTGAAGCAAATCTCTAGGTTAAGTGCACGGATCCAAAGTTAGGTCACGGGTCATGTATAGTGCTTTATTCTGTAATGATGCTATTTTTTTCATTTTTTATACTATAAAACTCTTTTTTTTTTTCATTTCACAACCTGTTTATAAAATTTTTTTTTCTCTTTAACAAACCAAGAATGGCTGGCCAACTTCTAACCCAAAACCCACTAAAACCCAAAATTTGGTAGGTGACCATCATCTGCACTGCTTTATGTCATTGTTCACCACTAGTCAATGTCATCGAAAAATTCTCAAATTTTGCCTACACGACCCTCGTGATCTTTTTTTTGCTATTTTCACCTTGGTTCCACCAAAAAAGCCACCAAAATTTCTAAATCTAACCTTAAAGTTTCGGCCAAACATGTATCTTTTTTTTTTTTTTTAACTTTCTGACTTTTTTTTTTCTTTTCTTTTGGTGTTGTGGCTCTCCATCCTAAAAAATATGATTTTTTTATTTTAGGATGTATTTTTAATGATTTTTTTTTTACAAACTAAAGTAGGTGTTCTTTAAGTTTTTTTTTTGTTTGCTTTTTTTTTTTTTTTTTGTGAAGCTTAGGATGGTTTGATGGACTTGTAGCTTTGTTCTGATAGAGTTAGGGGTGGTTTAGATGGGTTTGCTATAGGACGACCAGTGATGGTGGCTTGATGGTAAAGAAGGTTTTTAGGCAGGCCAGTCGAGTGGCTTAGTGGTAGTATGGGCTGGTGATGGTAAAATTTTTGTTGAATCGATTATAATGGGTTATGGTAGAGGTTTTTGATGAGTGGTCTCAATCGGTATTGCAACTTGGGTGCTGGTGAGAGTATGCTTGGGGTTGGTCTTGGTTGTAGGCAAGGACTAATTTCAATTTCTTGTTTTTCCTTTCCCTTGGGTTAGTCTCCCCCCATTGAACATGAATGCATCTGAAATTTTATTGAAAAGCCCAAACCTTCTATTTCCCACACCTCTATCTAAGAATTAAATCCCTTCGAAAAGGGTTATTGACAATTTTGAAATTTTCTTTTAGCATTGGTTGCATTTGGGGCTTTACAATGCTACATTTCGAGGAACAACAAGGTGAAAGTTTTGAAAAGGGGGGAAGTTGACTTTTTTAGGCATTATTCTTTTATCAATTGGTGTTGTTGGTAAACAAGGTAAAAGTAGATAGACAAATTCTGAGAGCTAAAATTGGTGAGGCAAATTAAGGAAAGTGAAACCATGGTCTGGGGAAGGGAAAAGTGAGGGAAGGTTGTTTTTTTTTTTTTAATTATTGTATTTATTTGTGCTAATTTTTCTTATCCTATCTTACTTTTGTCCTTAATTAATCAAAACCAAATTTGGGCTTCAATATTGAATTTGGGCTTTAACAATTAGACCAATAATGAAATTAGATCAAACTTGAGCTCACGTGAAATATTCTAAAACTATAATGAACCTAGTCTAAATATTTGAATCCATCCAATTTGGCGTGCTCGAATCAACTACAAAATCAATCACGATCGGATTATTTTGGACAAAATAGGTATCTACAAAGCCCTAATAAATTAAAATCAGTTTTAAATATAGTTTGGTTCATTCGGTGAATTAATAAACTTAAAAAATTTATGAGGACAATAATTAATTGTAATGTTCAAACTATCCTAAACCAAATAGATTCGAGTGAAATATAAATCACTTAACCAATCAATTTGGATAAGATTTAGTGTCTACAATAATAATGAAAAATGTTTTACATTCTATTATAAAACTATTACACATAAAATAATAAACTAAAAAAAAATTATTTCTTTAGCTTAGGCCATTGAGCTTTTTTCTTTGAGAACCTTCAGTTCTTCACAATCTGCAGCTGCATCTGCCATTTCATGTAGAGTTCTATAGAATAGTCTATTTGAAGGTTGTGAATATGATTTCACATAAGCCTAGTGTTTTTTTCCCCCTTTTACTAATAGAACTTGAAATCTCATCCTCGATAAAAAAGATACATTTTCTTTCCCTTTTCCGATTGCAACAACTTGGTTGAATGTAATTTGATACTTCCTTTGGCAATCCGGGAAAACTTTTTTTTCCGTTTATAATCAAACAGTGGAGAAATCCAGTTCACTAATTTGCAGCCATTGGAACAGGAGGCCAATAATGAAGAGGTAAAGGCATATAGTGATTACAATTGTTTCTGCAGACCAATTTAATAAATTCCGGCTCAAATTTCAAAAATTTTTGTGATATATATTTTTGGTTTCATCTAATATCTAAGATATTAGGTGATCAAGTTTACTTTGTAGATAAATTTGAGGATTTATAAATAGAGAAGTGTCAATTGGATGAAGAGAAAATGTAAGAAAAATTATAAGGTTTTGCCGCATTAGATATTAAATTTGTAATTGATTTTAAATTGTTAAAAATCAAGTCAAAGTGCTTATAGAAGGAGAATGTTCATAGATTTATTTGGAGTTAAAATTGGTTTATATGTGGAATTGTGTGTTTGTGAGAATAGAATTGATTGGGAGTGAGTGCTTGAACGTGAATGCTCATAGCTTTTCTATTTGAGGAAACGATTTAAACATACTACTTGCAGTCAATATTAAGAAAGATACTCGGGTACCAATCTTTTTCAGCTTTAAATTGTGCGAAGTTTAAGAACCAAAACTTATTGCGGATCGGGGAAATTGAAGGCTAGACAAGGTGCATGGGTCAATATTCATAAAGCAGCAAGGGGCCAAAAACGCATTTGTCAAAATTTTTTACTTCTTTTTTTTATGGAACAAAATTTTCTACTTCAATAGAGGATATGCCGCCTGTCCAAAAGTTTTCTTAGCCCTAGTAAAGCATGCATCTTTGTTTGAAAAACATCTAAATCCCTCCAACTCGTCTTTCTTTGCTGTGTCTTTGTCTGCCTGGCGATCTTCTTCATCTTCATCCTTGCCATCACAAACTATAAAAAGTAGGCATAATCGGTTTTGGCAAAGTAATTTAGACAGTCGTGGCAGAGACGATGATCGAACAAGGCCATACTATAAGGGCAACTTCTCTGATAGATTATTCCCAGCTCTGTGATCAATTGGGTATTTCGTTCTTCAGGTTGATAGCAACATGAATATATAAAACAGATAATTTATGCAAAGCCAACATATTCATTTTTGTGCAATCCTGGTTACGTTTCTGCATTGTTAGGGATGTTCTTGCATTTGTTGCAGCAGATAACGACGTGCTGTCGGTCAAAGAACAACCCAGAAACTTTCTATTGCAAGTGAGGAATGTAGCACTACATTACAACACAAAAACGCTTCTTAGAGACAGACAATTGAGGCAATTAGCTTATTTGCCTTTAAATCATAATTTTTAGGGACAAATATAATATGGGTCACAACATATAATGATATTTGCCTCTAATTGATATAGTATTTTTTTAATTAAAATATAATTAATATAATAAATTTATAGTGACTTTTAAGTGTCCTTTTGCCTTTAAAACTATTGTTGCTAATGGTAAAAATATATTAAATACTTACTCATAAAAGAAGTCCCAGTAAATTAATTAATTGCCTATCATATTAATGTATTGGAATTAAGCTATGTGAGGAATATCTACCCGTCAAAAATTCAAAGCTCCCATATTATTATATTACCACATACTAATTAATTTATTAAATTTTTGGTTAATAGGATAATGCATGTCAAAGTTCAAATACTAATATAGTTAGACATGCTAAGATATTTTCATGTACTTTGAAGTCTAAAAATACCTTTGTATACAGCTAATTTAGAAATTTTGAAGACTAAATTTAAGCCTATATATTAGGGCCTTTAGAGGTCAAAACTAGGTCATAAATAACAAAAGTGATTGACAACTTTTAGAGACTCAATTTAAGGATTGGAATCAACTGCACCTCCACTGGAAGGTCAGTTGTTATAAAAATTTGTATCAATTGATCAAGGCACCCGTTTGGGTGTCAATAGTATAGTGTATTTTGTGACTTTTAGTCACCAATGAAATTTGGTCCCGTGGCTAACTAGCCATTTTTTTTTTATTTCATTTTTACCCTTTATATAATATTGTAATTATTAAAATATTTTCTTAATAATTTTTCTCTTTTCATTCTTTGATATATTATTATTTTTATTAATTTTAATCATTTATCAATAAAATTGTTATTTGATATAAAATAATTTTTTAATTATTTATTAATTTTATAAATATTAAATCATGTAAATTTTTTATTACATATAATTTTTATTTTAATACCTTTAATAGTAATTTTTTATTTTCACTACAATTTACTTCATCATAACAGTTGTTTTTGCATCTAAACACATATTCCTTCATTTATTCTAATTTTACCGCTACAGTAATCAATCTTACCTACATTACTGTTGTCAATATCATCAGAACAAATCTCACCATCTATTCAATACAATACTACCAAAAAACTTAAAGTTTAAGGCAAATCAGAACTTCCAGCAAAAAAAAAAAAAAAGATTAAGATAGCCATGCGTTGGATACAATCAAATTTAATTAGCATTCATAACTCAATCTGGGCCACAGTAGAATGGGTTAAGATAAGCCAAAGTTTGTTCGTTTCTTATAGTCTAGTAGAATTGCTTAGTGTCAAATTCTAATTATTACTAGGATCTCCTTGGAAAGATGTTTTGAGTATCTAATGAATCTACAATGGTAAGGCAAATGATAAGTAACCACACTGCGATGCCATGCCATGGCTAAACTGGAACTTAAAGAACAAATACCAAAGTAATTGATTGCATTCACTTCAACAAGGAGCAGGATGGATAATCGTACATTGCGAGAATTTAACTTATTAGCCTGCATTGTCTACTGTGATACAACTGATCTTCTTGAAATGTAAATGCGTACTGTCTTTCATTGACTTAAACAAAAACTGAGTTAAAGATAGCCATCAGCTTATCAATAGCCCTTTGGGGCGAGTGGTGACTTGTAATAATAAGGAGGACTCTTGGCTGGTGGAGCTGGGGATTTGTAGTGGAATGGAGGATGCTCATGGTGAAATGGGGGTAGACAAGGAGGCTTGTAATGGTGGAAAGGGGGAGGTAATAGTGATGGTGGTGGAGGTGACACATAATAATATGGAGGTGGTGGTGATGCAGAGGGAGGAGGAGGTGATTTATAGTAATACGGAGGTGGTGGAGAGGGTGATGATGGTGGAGGAGACTTGTAATAATATGGAGGGGGAGGTGATGGTGAAGGAGGTGGTGGTGACTTATAGTAGTAAGGAGGTGGTGAGGATGGTAATGGTGGTGGCGGGAATTTATAGACATAAGGAGGGGGAGGTGATGACGATGGCGGAGGCGGAGACTTGTAAATGTATGGAAGAGGTGGTGATGATGATGGTGGAGGTGGAGAATTATAGACAAAGGGAGAGGGTGGTGGAGATTTATAGACATATGGTGGGGGTGGTGAAGAAGGAGGAGGTGGTGGGGACTTATAGGTATAAGGAGGAGGTGACGATGATGATGGTGGAGGTGGAGACTTGTAAATATATGATGGAGGCGATGGTGATGGTGGAGGTGGGGACTTATAGACATAAGGAGGAGGTAGCAATGGTGGAGGTGGAGACTTGTAAATATATGGTGGAGGAGGAGATGGTGATGGTGGAGGTGGAGGTGGTGACATGTAGAAGTATGGGGGATACCAAAAATGCTTTGGAGGGAATGGGGAGTTGTGGTATGGTGGGAACCATGCATGCTTTGGTGGTGAAGAGTAGCCATATGGTGGGTAATTGAAGTGGTGCTCCGGATAGTTGGCTACCACAGTGGTGGCTACAAGGCAGAACGCCAAAGCACATACGAGATGAGGCCAGAAGCCTGGCCATCTCCCCATTGCCATTTCTAGCAATTAAGCTCGATTGCTAGAAATTAAACTTAAAAGAATCTGAAGAAGAAGTGTTCTTTTTGTTACAGCCTGATAATACTAATTGTACATAGCCCTTTTTATAGGGTTGTTTTCAATCATTTGTGGAACAGATAATCTTGTTTAAATGTGCATAACAGGCTGGATTAAAGACTTTAACATAATGTTCCAAATCTGTTGTCGACTTAAATGTACTATCATTTTTCAAACCTGTAAATTGTGGTTTCCCACTAGGTTGCCTTGTTTGTAAAGACATGAACTCACGATCATAGAAATGCACCCATAAATATTTGGAATTGTTAGAGTTATTAGCTTGATCCACTCTTCGTGTTGTTGGGAGATTTTTTGTTTTGGCTTTATGTATCCTTTACAAAATTAACTTGATTATAAAAAAAAAGTCTTTAATTAAATCTATTCATGAATCTGGCCTGACTCAGGTAAATAAATCATAAAAATTTTATCTGATCACATAAACCCTAAAATCAATGGTTAAAAATTTTAAGTTAATATATAAATTTTTTTTTCTTGAGGAAATTTAAGTTAAAAGATTAAAACTAAAAAACACCTATATTAACATAAAGAAAAGAAAGAACATAACTATAATACAAATAGACAAACAAATATGCTGCATACGCTGATGTGTATAAGTTTCGCAAGGTAAATTAATTTCATTATCAGTTTGTGCTATTTTCACAATATTTCGTTTTATTTATAAACAAAATTTTTTTTTTTATGTGATAATGGTTTGGATTTAATCGGATTTAATTTGATTTTTTTAATAATGCATAGAATTATTAATTTTTAAAATCCAATCTAAATCAAAATCAAATTTTCATACAATATCCAAAATGAATTCTACTAGTTCAATTTGATTTATCAATTTTAAATATAATTTTTTTATTTTTTATATATTATTTTAATATATTTAAATAGATTTAAGTATAAAGTAATTATTTTTATTTTATAAAAATTTAAAAAATATATAAATCAATTCGATTTGATTTTTTTTATTTTTCACTTTTCGATATTAAAAGAATGTTCAAACCTAATATATATATATATATTATATATATATATTTAATATGCCTCTCCAAGTCTGGTGTCCTTCACAACAATAATTTAGTCACTTGGATCTAGTTGTATCTCTCTCTTTTTTCATTAATAATAATAATTTCATTTTTTAAAAAAAAATTAAAAATTGAATTTAATTCGAACTGAATAAAAAAAATTAAATCAAATAGTACTACGAGTTCAAATCAATTTTTTGTTTTTTTCTTTTTTTTTTTTTCTCATCCTTATCTAAGTTTAACTCAATTAATTTATACATTAATTCTTAAAGAAATAACATACAATAAGTTTAAAATTTGAATTTCAATACAATCTCTCATCTTATTCTCAAATTGTCACTTCTTATATATAAAAGAATTTTCATTTTTCCACTATCTATTATTATATATTATTATTTAAATATTATTACTTATAAATTATTTATAATATTATATTTATTATTTTTTAGATATTATTATTTATATTATTTTATATTATTATTTACAAAATTTATAAATTTTTTATTATTTATATTTAATTTATATTTAAGTTAAATATTTTTTTAACAAATTCATCTATTCTATATGTTATTCAATATAGATAGAATTTATCATGTGCATGTTTATGTAAATATTAAAGTAGTGTTTGGTATTATTTTTAGATCATCATAGTAATTTAATTATCATAGTGATAAGATTATCAAAGTGATTTAATTACTATAGTGATTTTAAATTATCATGTTTGATATAACATTATAAATTCTAGTGCTTTTAAATCACTGTATTTGATATTATATAAAAAAATAAATTATATAGTACAAAATATCTAAAATAACCTTATAAGAAAAAATAAAGTCTTTAATATTTATTAAATTAACAATTTATAAAATAGTTAAACATTATTTTATAAAAAATTACAAAGTATAAATTAATTTTGATAAAAATAATTTTTTAAAAAATTATTCAATAAATTTATTCTTTTTTCTAATCAATTAAAATTTGTAATATAAAACTTTTTTAAAATAAAGGATTAAAAATTTGGCTTTTTAAAAATTTTAGTAGCCGTTTCTTGAAATAATTTTAACTATATTTTTTGCGACGGTAAATCATCAAAAAATAATATTGAAATATTATTTTCTCATGGTGATAATTTTTTTAAGTTAAGAATCATATCATTCCCTAAATAGTGATCTTAAATCATTAGAGAGTGATCATAGCCACATATAATTTTTAAATTGTTATAAAAATGTAATGTAATTATTAAATACATATTATTATAATTTTTAAATAAATCATCTTATATCAAATACTCTTTAAGTGATAAATTTAATCTTACTTTAAACGGCATATTCTTGATTAAAAAAAGTGGCTTTTTTATATAAGTATAGATTTGAAATAAATTCAAAACTAGCAAAGAAAATCAAATTTTTTAAGTTGCAAAAAAAAAAAGAAGAAGCATCGTGATAGATCCAATTTGCTTTAGCTTTGCGCTTGCATATGTTTGTTGATGAGACGGTGAGTCGGTGGGGTGGTTGTTTCCAGCTATGTAGCCTTAAGAGATCTGTTCACGTTTGGCCATAAACAAGTCTAGACTCAACAAAGCTGGTTAAGCAAATTAATATATTTAAATGCCAAAACCGCGTTCAACTCGAACAAGTTACAATTTCAACTACGACGGAAAAGAAGCAAATGATCAGGAGCAGGAAAGTGAAAGAAACACCCCTCCAAAAGTCAAAAGAAGCTATCTTCAAATATTGAGAATCTATCGTTCTTTTTTTTTTTTAAGTTTTTACAAAAGAAAATAAAAGAAGAAATCAGTAGTTTGTGAATAAAAATGAGTTATAAGTATCATAGGGATATTAATAGATAAAGTATTAAGCGGTTAGAATATTTTATTTTTTATTTTTATATTATACCTCACTTATTTTTATATTACAGTGAACGAATTTTTTAAATTTATCTTCATGTTTGTACATGTGATTTTTTTAAAAATATAAAAAATAAAAATATTTTTTATTTTTATGTTATAGCATTTAAATAATTTTTTATAGATATGTATTTTTAAATAGTAAATATATTAATTTCTAATAAATTTAAAATTAAAATTCTATTATTAAATAAAAATTTAATTTATTAAATATATAAATTTATATAATATACAAACAGGACGGATTTATAACTACATATCCCTGTATTAATATTTGATAAAAAATTTAAAATATACCAATTTTCATATTTATTTTTAAAATTTAATATCCGTTTATATCTTTATTAAAATAAAAAAAAATTAAATTCTTTATAAATTTGGATAAAATTAATCTATCAAAATATTATATTTAAAATTTAAACCTATTAAATATCATTTTTTAAAAATAATTATACAAAGTAACTGTTCCAAAATTTAGTTTATGTGGACTTCACTTGCTAATGTTTGTTTCATTTTTGCATCCAAAGTTGATTATGATTTCATTCGAAAGTGAAATGCCAGCCAAACCAGTGTTGGATTTGGACTTATATGACGATAATTGTGCTTTCAAATGAAGTCTACACTTTGTGTTCCTTTTTATTTGACAAATAATTTGTGGTTTTTTTAAGATATTTGTCACAATTTCATTTAAAGTTTTACGCAGCTATTAATGTCGGTGAGAGAAAAAAAAAATGGAAGGAATAGAAGGTGACTGCAAGCAAGTTGAAGAAATATTTATTTTTTAGAAGTAGTTTTGAGTTTGTCGATTTTAATGCTTCATTTTAAAAATTTTTAAGCTTAGCTCAGCATCTCTTGTTGTTTGCGGTGGATCAAGGTCAAATATTTAAATTCTTTAATTATATATTTTTTATTAAAAACAAAACATAATAACACATGTTAAAATTATAATAATGTTAATAAATTATAATCTTATATAGTTATTATTCACGCCTCTTAATTGGCTCATAAAAAATTTTATCCCTCGGGATGAGATGGACCTTAAGCCCTCACCCACGCTCAAAGAACAGGTCCTACTCATATTCCAACGGGGCTTTAATCATATCCTTTGATAAAAGAAACAAGCAATTCACAACATTTTATATTTATTAGAAAAACTACTTGGTTATCGAATTGTAGGGATATTATAATAATTTTGATCAATTAAGATAAAAATTATATTTTAGTAATTATATTAAAATGAGTATTATAGTAATTGTAATTAATCATAGAAAGAGAATCATTATAGTCAATTTGGATACATGTAATTCAATTACCAAATGATTAAATGGCATTATAATCATTTATAAGAAGATTCATTTCACAGTATTATATGAATATTAAAATTTAATTCATAATTATGAAACAATCAAAAAGGTATTTTCATAATTATGATTAGAGAGTATTATAATAATTTTAGTCAATTATAATATGAGGGGTATTTTCGTGATTATGGTTGGAGAGACATTATATGAAGCAAATAAAAGTGGGTTTTTTTTTTTTTTTTTTTTTGTAACTATGGTTAAAAGGTATTAGAGTAATTTTAGCAATTATAATATGAGGGATATTTTCGTAACTCTAGTTAGAGGGTTTTATAGTAGTTTTGGCAAATTATAATATGATAGAATTTTCGTAAATATGGTAGAAAAGGCATTATAGTACTTTTGGTAAATGAAGGCATTTACATAATTATGATTGTATTGGCATTATAATAACTTTAGTCAATTATGGTAAGAGTAATATTTTAGTAATTGTGTTAAAAGAGCATTATAGTAATTTTAGTTAATCATAGAAAGAAGGGCGTCACTCCAATTTGGATGCAGTTAATTCAATTGTCAAATAATTAAAAGAGGATTATGATAATTTTTAAGGGGATTAATTTCATCTGGGAATCATTTTAAAATGGTCACTTAACAATGAGCTCATTTTAAAATGGTCATTGAAGTATTAAAGTTTTTAATTTAGTCACCAACGTTTGAATTAGTAGTTTTTTAGGTCACTGTATTGTTAAACTGTACCGTTTATCTAACATGGCTTGACTCATCAGAAATAGTTTAATTACATAGCAAGTAAAAAGACCAAGTAGCATGGTTAACTCAAAAAATAGTACACGCTAGCTTTAAAGTTATTATGTTTAAGGGTTTAGAGTTAAATGATTTAGGTTTTGGGTTGGGTTTTAAAGAGTAGATATTTTTTGAA